ACTAGTAAATTTTGACAGTAATTTAAAGGTGTTGCGTTTTCATTGACGCCGAGTATATATAATAACTCCCTGTTAAAAAAACCTCTAGGAGGTCCGACTCGCTATTCACAGCAAGATTGATGTTCTCCACCCCCACCCCCAACCCCACCCCCACCCCACCCCCACCCCACCCCCACCCCCACCCCCTAGGAGTACCGACTCGCTATTCACAGAACGATTGATGTTCTCCATCCCTCATCCCCTCCCCCTAGAGGTACCGACTCGCTATTCACAGCAAGAATGATGTTCTCCACCCCCACCCCCATCCCCACCCTCACCCCACCCCCAACCCCACCCCCTAGGAGTACCGACTCGCTATTCACAGCAAGATTGATGTTCTCCACCCCTCATCCCCCATCCCCCTAGAAGTACCGACTAGCTAACAGCAAGATTGATGTTCTTCACCCCAAACCCCCTCCCCTCCCTCCCCCACCCCCCTGTCCGGATGTCATTGTAAATTAATATGTATGTCCGGATGTCATTGTTTATGAATATGTCTGTCCGGATGTCATTGTTTATGAAGGTGTCTGTCCGGATGTCATTGTTTATGAAGGTGTCTGTCCGGATCACATTTTTAATGAGGATGTTTGTCCGGATGTCATTGTTTATGAAGGTGTCTCTCCGGATGTCATTGTTTATGAAGGTGTCTGTCCGGATGTCATTGTTTATGAAGGTGTCTGTCCGGATGGCATTGTTAATGAAGGTGTCTGTCCGAATGTCTTTGTTTATGAAGGTGTCTGTCCGGATCACATTGTTAATGAGGATATTTGTCCGGATGTCATTGTTTATGAAGGTGTCTGTCCGGATGGCATTGTTTATGAAGGTGTCTGTCCGGATGGCATTGTTAATAAGAGATGAAGCTACCGTTACAAGAACCCCGTGTACATTTTTATTCTATAATCAAAATTCCTAGTCTGATATCAAATTATATCTAACTTGAAATAATATGATTAAAAAGGTACGAAATCTTGCCTTATCGTTACCTAGGAATGGTGTATTTATCTATCTATACATTCACATATCAATCTAAATTACTTTATAAAGGTACTTTTCAAACATAACATATAATGGTTCATTTGATGTACCGTAGAACATAAGTAATTGTTATTGTAGATCTTGACGTAAACTATAGAGCTTGTACTTCTAATTGGGGCAGAAAAACTTGTGATTCAGCATTATAAAAGTGTGGACACTGGAAGTAAATGAAACACTGAACACAAAATGTCGAATTTAATTCATATGTACCACAATATGTGCTAAATTCTCAATTAAATGTGAAAAAAACGACGGGGATATGGAAAAGTCGAAATGAACAGTTGATCTTGCTATCAATGGCGTATATTGGTTCCATGTCTGTCCTAACCAAAGCATGGCCATATTTGGTACATTGGTTCCATGTCTGTCCTAACCAAAGCATGGCCATATTTGGTATATTGGTTCCATGTCTGTCCTAACCAAAGCATGGCCATATTTGGTACATTGGTTCCATGTCTGTCCTAACCAAAGCATGGCCATATTTGGTATATTGGTTCCATGTCTGTCCTAAGCAAAACATGGCTATATTTGAGCATTTTTACCTTACCTACAAGGTTCACATTCACAAAACAATGAAACAGATTCCGTTCTCCAATCCAAATTCTCAATCACTAAGTTACGGATGTTGATACATATGTAGATGTTATGTAAACGTTACGTAGTGACTGTTTTTCTGCCATTTCGCCTATTCGCGCTATGGGTAACGCTAAAACACGCCAAAAGGTGGAGTTTCGCCTGAAATTCCTTAAGCGAAAACGCGAAAAGGTGACATGTTGAACAAAGACGAAAACGCGACAAAAGTTACGCGAAAAGGCGAGATTTTTACACGTTTAAAACGGCGCTTTTTCATGTTCACTTTTTCGTCTGGTAGGATTTAGAACAGAAACCCGATTTTGTTTTGTGTGTTTTCGCGTTAGAAACAACGTGAAATGCATTAATCAGTCACCATGTTATGGTTACATTAACAAGCCTATTGTGTTACATTTCTTCCTTGACCGGGGATTCATCAGGACATTTACCCATATCAAATGTACTGCCACAGCAGGCTTCCAATTAAGTTTAACACCATTCATACATCACAGTCTAGACAGGTCAGAAATAGAGTCTTTCCCGCGTCTGGTCCCTCGCTGAATGTCTCGACATCAGACATACAGTCTTTCACTTGTCTGGTCCCTCGCTGAATGTCTCGACAGCACACATAGAGTCGTTCACTTGTCTGATCCTTCTCTGAATGTCTCGACATCAGACATACGGCCTTTCACTTGTCTGGTCCCTCGCTGAATGTCTCGACATCAGACATAGAGTCTTTCACTTGTCTGGTCCCTCGCTGAATGTCTCGACATCAGACATAGAGTCGTTCACTTGTCTGATCCTTCTCTGAATGTCTCGACATCAGACATACAGTCTTTCACTTGTCTGGTCCCTCGCTGAATGTCTCGACAGCACACATAGAGTCGTTCACTTGTCTGATCCTTCTCTGAATGTCTCGACATCAGACATACAGTCTTTCACTTGTCTGATCCTTCTCTGAATGTCTCGACATCAGACATAGAGTCTTTCACTTGTCTGGTCCCTCTCTGAATGTCTCGACATCAGACATAGAGTCTTTCACTTGTCTGATCCTTCTCTGAATGTCTCGACATCAGACATACAGTCTTTCACTTGTCTGGTCCCTCGCTGAATGTCTCGACAGCACACATAGAGTCGTTCACTTGTTTGATCCTTCTCTGAATGTCTCGACATCAGACATACGGCCTTTCACTTGTCTGGTCCCTCGCTGAATGTCTCGACATCAGACATACAGTCTTTCACTTGTCTGGTCCCTCGCTGAATGTCTCGACATCAGACATAGAGTCTTTCACTTGTCTGATCCTTCTCTGAATGTCTCGACATCAGACATACAGTCTTTCACTTGTCTGGTCCCTCGCTGAATGTCTCGACAGCACACATAGAGTCGTTCACTTGTCTGATCCTTCTCTGAATGTCTCGACATCAGACATACGGCCTTTCACTAGTCTGGTCCCTCTCTGAATGTCTCGACATCAGACATAGAGTCTTTCACTTGTCCGATCCCTCTCTGAATGACACGACATCAGACATACAGTCTTCCACTTGTCTGGTCCCTCTCTGAATGTCACGACATCACACATACAGCCTTTCACTAGTCTGGTCCCTCGCTGAATGTCTCGACATCAGACATACAGTCTTTCACTTATCCGGTCCCTCGCTGAATGTCTCGACATCAGACATACTGTCTTTCACTCGTCTGATCCCTCGCTGAATGTCTCGACATCAGACATACAGTCTTTCACTAGTCTGGTCCCTCTCTGAATGTCTCGACATCAGACATAGAGTCTTTCACTTGTCTGATCCTTCTCTGAATGTCTCGACATCAGACATACAGTCTTTCACTTGTCTGGTCCCTCGCTGAATGTCTCGACAGCACACATAGAGTCGTTCACTTGTTTGATCCTTCTCTGAATGTCTCGACATCAGACATACGGCCTTTCACTTGTCTGGTCCCTCGCTGAATGTCTCGACATCAGACATAGAGTCTTTCACTTGTCTGGTCCCTCGCTGAATGTCTCGACATCAGACATAGAGTCTTTCACTTGTCTGATCCTTCTCTGAATGTCTCGACATCAGACATACAGTCTTTCACTTGTCTGGTCCCTCGCTGAATGTCTCGACATCAGACATACAGTCTTTCATTTATCCGGTCCCTCGCTGAATGTCTCGACATCAGACATACTGTCTTTCACTCGTCTGATCCCTCGCTGAATGTCTCGACATCAGACATACAGTCTTTCACTAGTCTGGTCCCTCTCTGAATGTCTAAGTATTACTGACCCTAATGTTTGTCCTTACAAAAAAGTGGTCAGATTGTTGTCATCCCCGAGACAATACACAAATGTATGAGTAATTGTCAGAGTGTCTTATTGGATCTGTCCACCTCTAACTTACTACGTCTACAGATATAACCAGTTGTATATATAGAGAATAAATGTCCTGAGTCTTGAAATGTAAGCTGTTGTCTGACGAGAGTGAAGAAAGACAATACTACACCATGAAAAGACAACAACTCGGGTTCTATACCTCCAGAATTACATCTCATCTCCTATAGATTCTACGTTCGAGTGGTCAACGGCACCAAATCTATAATAGGAAGGAGAAGTGAAAATAACCTGCCACCATTGTGATTCAAAGTAGTTACCCTTCGGTATATAGCCGAACACTCTACCGCACGTCTTACGGGAAATTCCTATCAGCCAAGACTAGAAAGGCGACCTGTACAACTTGATAATTTGTCCTGCAACTGGCGCTGCCATAGTTGGAATACAATGTACATATAAATTTGCCACATAACGGCTTTATTCGGCAGAGGTAGCAATCCTCTCAGCATCTGCATTAATTAGACAGAATCACTTTCAGAATTTATCTTACGTTTAAAAACAGAAATATCTGTAGAAATAAGCTATTTTACAAAATATAGATATTATGTAATGAGTAAGTTCATTTACGGAAATTCGTAAAATCACTGTTTTATCATTAAAGTTATCCTATACATAACATTTTCTTGTGTTTGTATGCATAACATGTTTTTTCATTTTTATATGGGGAAAAAATATAATCAAAATTAATATGTGTGTCCTTGCTGAGCGTCGAATCGTTTTTGCCTTACATGATGCTGGCAGTATTCTATTGGTTAATAAGACTGGATCTACTCATTCCTCCGCAAGTAAAATAGGTCTATTTACTCTTTCCTTTTTTCAATAGCTTTTCAAGATATTTGACATAATTATGCAAATGATCAAATATATGCACCAATATTCTTGACATTGATCTAAAATACTTTTATGAACTACAAAATTTTCGGAATTCTTATACCTCGCACTATTTTTATCATATCCCTACATTATAACAAAATGGCCGCCTCCATGATGAAACTGGCCGGGTTGGTGTTGCTTGCCGCTATCTGCAGCGTGAATGCAAATAAGAGGACGTTGGTATTGGTAGACAATTGGTCCATCAGAGAAACACATTCAGTCTTCTTCAAGTCGTTAAGAGGTAAACTTTGGTTTTGTTTGATTATATGTTGATATGGTCGCCGAGCACCTTGCCGGTGTTTTCGACCGCCACGTCAACACACTCAAACATGGTTAGTTCGGTAGTAGTACTTGTAAATGACATGTCAGCTCACTGCTTGTGTCATATCAGGAAAATACGTTGGCATACTGTCTCATCAGAAGGTCGATAACATTTTGCGAAGATCATATTTATTGTGTATGCAGTGTATTGCGCAAAAGTCGCACAGAGGGATGTCTACAGACCGGGACATGCTAGCTCGGTCCTCGCCGACCCATTTCATGTTTGTCTGGTATATTAATAGTTTATTTGATATCTGTTGGCAATAATTGTGGGATCAGAATGTTCTCATCATATTTAGCATGTTGGACATCATGATGTAGGAAATGCACTTGTGTAGTAAATGCGTTACTTAATTGGGGAACAGGTCCCTATTTGAAATAGAAACACAAAGTTCTTTGGTTCATGTCAAAAAAGTGATGCTATTTTTTATTGCAAATGTTTAAAAGTACTATGAGTTTGTTTCAAATTGTTACCCATTTGAGCCCAAAGCTCCATCTGTTACTCGACTGCAGGACTAACTTGTTCATCTGTATTCTGACCAATTAATTAATTAGATTAATCAGATTGATATTGAATTCCATTGATGCAACAGTTGTTTCCAACTGTTGTGAATTTGTCAGACATGTCAGGTAAAAATGTCTTTTCTGGTAAAATTTGATTGACAGTTTACAGGAAAGGACAATGTTTATTCATTTTTTTTTCATTTTGTGTATTGCTGGTAAATGGTGCCAGACATTGAAAAAAGAACTCAAATTTAAGTTGTGATATATTTGTGGACCTATATCAATAGCATAGCTAATAAAATGAACATTAACACTACATGAACGTTTTTTTTAGCCATTTTTGCTTCTGTACTGGTCTGCAATAAAAAGCGATTCCGACAGATTATGAAGTTGTTTAACTGGTTAAAGTAACTGAAAGGTAGACATGAGTTATGATAAATTTATGCTATGATGGAAGTGTTTTCTATGTAATTGATTTTTATACATGCAATCCTTTACAGATCAAGGATTTGAACTGACTTTCAAGACAGCTGACGATGGAGGTTTGGCATTGGTGAAGTTTGGCGAGTTTCTATATGATAATCTTATCATCTTTTCCCCATCAGTTGAAGGTATGTATATAAATATAAAATACATATATATTTATTTTCATTTATCATGCATAAATAATTTTACTGATTGTGACCCAGATGTTCTGCTGTTTGATGTTTTTATCGCATCACAAGTTGATCACTATATATAAGTAACACTTTATTGACACAGAATTTGGAGGAACTGTAGATGTGGCAGCTCTAACTAACTTTATTGATGGCGGAGGAAATGTTCTGGTGGCTGGAAGCTCCAACATTGGTAAGTTGTCGTGGAAACATTACAGAATGGTAATAAATGCCAGTGATACCCTGAAGTAAACAAACACTATGTCAAGTGTGCTATGTAGCTATCTGTTAGAATTTTGGTTGGCATTTGTAAATGTTTTGATTAATCAATGTTGTTGACGTCAGTTGGAAAGTTGAGATATCAGTTGGAAATTATCATGGTTAATTACAATGTGACTGATACAATGTTGTACATTCTGAAACTTGGTAATCTACTTGACTTGTCTTTGACATTTCCCAAATACTTGATGTAATTTGTGGTATAAAAACAATAGTGATTTGCCTGTGAACCAAGCTGATCTACCAGTCGTATATTTTGTAACTCAAGCATTCTCATGTCTAAGCAGAATTTTAAATGAATGTAATTTTAATAGAAAATAAAATAAATTTTTGTGTCCCTTTGTGTTGTAGGCGATCCGCTAAGAGAACTGGCTACAGAATGTGGTTTGGAGTTTGATGAAGAAAAATCTTCTGTCATTGATCATTTGAATTATGATGCTCAAGATCAGGGAAAGGTATTTAAAGCATGCATCGCCAACTTGTCACTGAGAAATACTTTATAGCTTAAAAGCTTATAAGATAGGAATATTGTGAATTTTGATTAAAGAAAATCTTGAAAAATTACGGAAGACACAAATGTGCAGCAACTGATTAAGTCTGATTTTGGGCCTACGACGTGTACATTATTAATTTTTTTTAGAAAACAAAAAGAGAGTGTAAAATTTTTTTTTTATTCTGAAGAATTACTTTATTCAATATTTTGATAAAGGTTTAGATGAAGATGTGACGTCTTTTGTTGTAGCATACCTTGATTGTGGCAGATCCTAAAAACCTGTTAGATGCTCCTATGATTGTGGGAACTCAGGCCACATCTCCTCTCCTCTTCAGAGGTGTAGGGTAAGTGAGTAATGTAATATTTGATATGTACAGCTACCTGAAACTGGGTTAGACATAGTGCACAATAAACATACCTATTATGATATGTATCATACAAATATATACAAATGCAAAAAATTCACCTTTTTAAGACTGAGTGCATCAGGTTGTTTATTGACGCCATAAATTACAAAAGTAAATACTATTGAATTATCTTTTTGGATAATTTCTAGTACTTTAGGGATGTGATTGCACAGTTAACCATGTCTTTGCTGAAGGATTTAAACAATATTTTTTAGAGCTTTGTTAAAATTGACTGAATATTTGAAGAACTTTTTAAGTATCCTTATACAGGAAAACAAAACAAATTGGTACATTACAAAACGGTATATATCATTGGAACTAAAGTTAGCCATTATACTCATTCTCAAAAACATCATTTTGTTTTGAAATTTTCATTTTTTTTTTCAGTTGATCTTAGACTTTTCACATTTTAATAGTGTTCCATTTCAGAGACTGATCAGATTTCTATGTAATTATCTAACATCCCTAGACACAGGACATTTGATTAACATGTACTTTTGTTAAAATCAGCAAAATAACTTTAGCAGGTAAAAAAATATCAATTATTTCACATGACAAACCTGCCCTATTTTTAGAATGATTGCTGACCCGGAGAACCCCCTGGTGTTAAATGTCTTGCATGCATCTTCCACTGCCTACTCCTTCAACCCTGACAACAAGATCGAAGATGTAAGTATTTTACAAACATCATCTGACAAAACTTGTTGAATCAGTCTATAATTATTCTAATTCGAGAAATATATAAGAAAACAGATACCTAACAATTGGGTACACAACAGAACGATTCTCTTAAGTGCCTAGTTTTAAAGGTGACTCCTTGAATATGTATAAAATGACATGACATTTGAAGAATAATTAGAAGAAAAGGCTATGGACTATTATTGATTGTTTTGAATTCTTTCTGAGTTATTGTTTGTGATTGTTTTGCGAAAAAATTGTTGGGAAATCATGTTGATCATGTTACGGTATCACTAGATCTGGTTAAAACTTTATTTGTTGCAAATTGTGTCAGTTTATTTAATGAAATATATTCTATTAATGCTTTTGAAAAGCAATTTCCACAAAATATACTGTCACATTTGTCTATACCACCCACTTAGGTTAGGGGGTATATTTTTATCACATTGTTTGTCTGTTGATGGTTATATTGTGTACAGAGATAGCTCATGAACCATTGAAAAAATTTAATTCATATTCTCAACATAGCATCACCCCACCAACATCAACACTTAGTTTGATTTTAATGATCATCTGTCAATGCTAAAGTCATCCTCGACCATTGTCCAAAAAGAAAAGTGTGTACAAGATAGCTCATGAACTCCTTGAGAGTATTATTTCAATTTTGCACTTTAGTTTCACCTAAAATATCTCCCTTTATAGATCAATTCCTCAATAGATTTTGTTTAAGTCCCTACTTATCTTCATGTGTAGTACCCTCATGCGGTGGGAAGTAGCACATTGCTGGTGGCTGGTCTACAGGCTAGGAATAATGCTCGTGTTATGTTTGTTGGATCTCTGGACTTCTTCAGTGATGAATTCTTCACTTCTCCAGTACATCATGCAATTACCAACAAAAGGTAAGATCCACATCAAGGGAGATAATCAGGACTTAATTTAGCAGCTTTGAAATTTTCTGCCAGTGAAAAGGTTAGGGAATTTAAACTGGTAATGTTCCTTGTTGTTTCACTCTGTTGATTTTGTTTATTTTTTGTTATGGCAGCAATATTTATCAATACACCACAACAGGTCCTGACTAAAAATACATCTTGTGGTTGATATCAATTCTATGTGAAAGGGGTGAAAAACATGTGACATAACTGACAAAGAAAAAATACCTTTACTTTGATAGATATGAGAAGTCAGGCAATGAACAGCTATCCATGAACCTTGCCCAGTGGGTGTTCAAAGAGAAGGGTGTCCTTCGTGTGGGAACTGTCAAACACAACAAAAAGGGAGAGTCCGCACCACCAGTGGCCTACACAGTTTACGAGGAAGTGGTGAGAGAAATCATTTTATTGTAATGTAACTTTTGTGACGTTTCCAGGTTTAGTTGTCTTAGTATTGTAACAACTATTGGCTATGTTAAATACTTGAATGAAAGCTTTCAAAATGTTCAAATGGCCAGTTGATCAGTTGATCTTGCCCATTTTCAAGGTCACAAGAATCAAATAGGGCTTAATCTTAAACATCTTCATCTAAATAGCCATTGGTCACTTGATCTAAATGTTTATATACTTACATGAAATCATATGGAGTTTCTCATTCAAACTAGTTGTTTTTTGAAGTTTGAATTAACAAGTCTTTAATTTTCCAACAAAATAATGTTTGCATGGTTGTACAAATCCTGTGATAAATGATTCTGTTTAAATTTTGACCATACTTTTAGATACAGGATAAAAACCAGCAAGTTTTTAGACCTCCATAATTATATACCTGATGTGTTTTCTGTTAAAGGAGTACTCCATTGGTATTGAAGAGCTGAAGGGAGGACAATGGAAACCATTTGATCGTAAGGATGTCCAGCTGGAGTTTGTACGCATTGACCCTTTTGTGAGGACCTTGTTAACAGGAAAGAGTAAGTAACATGAGTAACGGGGGAATATTTTGCTATCCATTTCATAACCATATTTCAATATGTTACTTTGAAATTTTAAGAAATATGTGCTATGGTTCATTCTAAATTGAAAAATGAATCAACCTTTTATATACTATTAAAACCTAGGTGTAAAACAGCCAACCAAACCCCAAATTAAAATTGAGATGAAAGTACTCTTAAGTCAGTCAGAGTGCTTCATTAAAATCCACAAAAATCTAGATGGAAGCATTTTACGATAACTACTCATTTTTTTCCACATTTAAGTCAATTAGATTTAGGCTGTTTCAAAGTGCTAAAACTTTTGTTTTATCAATAGCAACCTTACTTGATGTTGCACTTTGGAATTTACTTTTTCAGAATCTGTCTATTGGGTAGAGTATTTGATGTACTATAGTGTCACTATATAAATGTCTTTTTGTTTTAAGATGGTGTGTTTGGTGTAACCTTCAAACTGCCAGATGTTTATGGTGTTTACCAGTTCCGTGTCGATTACAACAGAATAGGATACACTCACCTGTACAGTACCACACAAGTAAGTAGTACAAGTGTGTAAATACAGTGCCACACAGGTAAATAGTACAAGTGTGTAGATACAGTGCCACACAGGTAAGTAGTACAAGTGTGTAGATACAGTACCACACAGGTAAGTAGTACAAGTGTGTAGATACAGTGCCACACAGGTAAGTAGTACAAGTGTGTAGATACAGTGCCACACAGGTAAGTAGTACAAGTGTGTAGATACAGTGCCACACAGGTAAGTAGTACAAGTGTGTAGATACAGTGCCACACAGGTAAGTAGTACAAGTGTGTAGATACAGTGCCACACAGGTAAGTAGTACAAGTGTGTAGATACAGTGCCACACAGGTAAGTAGTACAAGTGTGTAGATACAGTACCACACAGATATGTGGTAATATTAAATGTTCTTATTTAATGGATACGATTCTTTTCAAACCGTGAATTAGGAATTTATCTTGTGTTGTTGGAAATGGATCAAAATGATAATTTGGACCATTCACTGTAAACAGCAGGTATATGTATCAGCAAAGGTGAATTTCCAGATATCAATTTAGCATAGCCATTGTTTTGTAAGTTTTTCTACAGCCTCTGAAACAAACCAGGTATATGTACATATGTTAAGCAAAGTTGATTTTGCAGATATCAGTTAAGAGCCATCATTGTTTGTGTTGTAGGTTTCTGTGCGGCCACTGGAACACACCCAATATGAGAGGTTTATCCCTTCAGCATTCCCTTACTATGCCAGTGCATTCTCTATGATGGCAGGAGTGGTTATATTCAGTTTGGTATTCCTACATTTCAATGATGCACCAAAGGAAAAAAGAGAATAACCAACTATCTCTGTTTTAATTGGGAAATAATGCATCCATTTGAATCATATGTACCAGGAGAAAAACACTGTGCTAAATTGAGCTTGAAAATATGTTTCGAGTGTCTAGATTAAATTAACTTCTTTCATTATTGTTGGATATGCAACCAGAAACAGGAAATCATTTTTCTGTAGTGATCTCATCAAAGATTTTGTCGTAAACAAGTTTAAATTTATTCCATCTCTTCATATGTTGTATTTTTTATATAGAAAGAAGAAATCCTTGAATTACAAAAAATGATTAAAAAAAACCAAAAGAGGTGTTTGTTTTTATGTGTGATTTATCAGTAATTAGTGTGTTGTTGCCAATGGCAAATAACAATATAGTTTTGTTCATCTACAATCATCAGATGGCTGGCTGTTCAAATTGACCTTTGCCCTCGTTCTGTGGTCTGCCCTAAAGAATCCTTTGTTATCACTATTTCCTGAAAAGTTCTTGAGGGATATTTTTCAGACTTTATTTATAGGTTTCGCCTCATGTCTCAAGTTGTAGGGATTCGAAAACGGCAGACAGGCACCATCACTGACAAGCACCATCTTTTTTTGACAGCTGAATTTTATTATTGATCTTTCATGAAGTACTCGCAGGATATTTCTGAAACTTGTATAAGCTCCCATAGGTTCCTAGTTATTCCAGTTGGATTTGGAGGCTGATATAAAAAAAATAACAAAAATTAAAATGGCCTACATACACCTGTCTTGGATTTTGTCACTTTTGGTTTGTTTTCCTTTCTCTTGGTGTTGTCAACATTATTAATACATTGCCCATAACTATAACACTGTTATAGGCAGACTTTAATATTAGAGTTAAGCCCCTTGAAGAAAATTTCCAATATTTCATAGTTTCTGTTCATTACCTCTGCAACAGATGCACATATTGAACAGTTTGCAGTTTCATTCTTTATCTTGGTACACAAGCACATTTTGGTGCATAAGTGTGAGTTAAGATCAGAATAGAATATATATTCATGATCTATATTCGCCTCTTTACAGGAAAAAAATATAGGGCTTCGTGGGAGTTAGTTAAATGATTGCTAATCATGTTCTCTAAATAATAACACAAGACAATATATAAAATTTAAAAATATTTTTTTATTTCCAATTCAACTAAGAAAGGTCTAATCAATGAAGATTCTTATATCAATGTGTCAACACAACATCACGAGCTCCCGAATGTGCTAATAAAATTTAGGGGTCAAATGTCAACACAACATCACGAGGTCCCGAATGTGCTAATAAAATTTAGGGGTCAAATGTCAACACAACATTGTACTGAAAACATGTGGCAAACTGCTGCGCTACCATAACAGGAAATGTCTGAAACCCATTCATGAATATGTTCCCATAGCAACGGTCAAGAATGGCAAACAACGACAGTCGAATTGGGTTATCCCCCCTTAAACAATGATTGGCGACATTACAAGAAGGTTCCTTCAATGTAGTTAAAGTACTTGAAGCCTGTTCTCGTGTGCTTCTATGAATTGGGTTGGTCAATTTTAACCCCTGACCTCTGTTATTGTTGCAAGGACAGTAGTCGATTGTTAAATATATGACGATGTCTTTAAGCTGGGTATGACCATTTTATGATTTTCATAATCTACAGTAAGTTTAGATATTTTAATTAAAAGAAAAAAAAAAGAAATTATTTATGATTATGGGTCATAAAAATAAAAGTAAATGAATCCATTTTAATATACTTCAATGCGAATACAAATGCTTCTTGCGCCCATGTTATAACATACGTGCATATCTTTTCATGTCAAACACACTAAAAATGAGTTCTTCAATAGATATCTTACATCACTAAATACGACACATTACCATATATAATATTATAAATGCCGGTATGCTCCGAGATTGAACTTTTCATTATACATAATAAACATAAAATACGGTGTCCTATACGTACATATGTGTTTTTGATTTGAATATTTACATTGGTCCAGCAACTATAGCATGGTTCCCACGGTGGAGTATTATCACTTCTATCTAAGTATGTCAAAATTTACCTTATAATTTATATGTCACAGAAACGATATTTGACTTATTCTTCAAAATAGTTTTGTGACTTTGAAAATTTTTTGATAAAATTATGCTTTTGTCATTCACTTATTTTAATGATGTAGAAATTAAGTATGTTATATTTTGTGATTAGTATAATTATCTTTGATTTAGACACCCAAAAATATTTGCAAGATTTCCAAATATATTAATGACACTTTAAAATGTATAATTTTTTAAACTGAAAAAATTAATCATAATTGTAAACAATTAAGACATAGTCAAAATATATGTATGACAAATGCCAAAGATATTCTGGGCAATGTCATATGTGTTAGTGACAATGTCAAATATAGGTATGACAAATGTTGTAGATATTCTGGGCAATGTCAAACATATTAGTGACACTGTCAAATATATATAAGGCAAGTGTCAAAAGACCTTCTGGACATTGTCAAATATATGTATACATGGCAATGTCAAAGGTCTTCTAGTCAATATCAAATGCCCTTGAAACTGTCAGTTGTATTTATGACACCATATGTTTCTGTTGACACTGTCAAACTCAATTGTACATATACAAGACACATATTTACAGAAGACAAGTGCAAGTGAAATAAAAAAAAAAAAACATCAACGTTTCTTTATCTTTGATGCTATAACTTCAAAATCTATACAGATCCAGGTACCAATCTAAAACATTAAATCGTTCATCCTGAGCTCACAGAGAATCAACATATCAAAAACACATACTATACATTACATAAATTTTGCAATAAGTAAACAAAATATTGCGGTTGGTTTTTAACCATTCTGTAAAGGACACACAACATAAGGGTGGATATTTTTCGGTTGCATGTATCTGTAGGACGAATTGGCATAGATTTAAATGCATAAATTTTCTCTCTCTTAACACATAAATTGGTAGACAAGCACACTGCCTGTCGGCATCACCGACAACCTTGACACTTTCACATGTACTAACATGCATTCCAGGACCATATTTTTTTTTTTTTTTTTTTTAAACATGGATATTTATTCATTTTTTGTTTTGTTTTTCTCATTGTTTACTCATTTTTTCCGGTGCAGTCACGTCTTTCAAATGATGCGTATGTTACATATATTCTAGACACGTGCAAAATCTGGAAATCATGTGGTGACAAATCTCACCATTCATATAGCAAACTGCATCTAAGTGATACACACGACAATGAATGATGGTAACCGGGAGACTTAATCCTGTGGTACACCGGTGTAGGCCTTGTTTTTGTAGTAGAAGTAGGTGATGAGAAGAGCTACCAGGAACATGCAGGCCAAACACACCCCAACAACGATTCCAATAACTCGAGTGTTGTGGACAGCCTCCTCCACATCGATAAAGGTGACTGAAAACAGAAAGTCAACAATCTGAGTATGTGACATTATAGATAGATAGAAATGACAGGCTGCTGAAAAATTAAAGAAATGTCATTATGTCTTAAGAACAGTACAGTTGTATAACAACTGGTCTTAAAAGTTCATCCCAATAACAAATGTCGTTTGAAATTGCCAAATATCACAAGTCTGGTCAATTCCACCCACAAATTCCACCCAAAATCAGACGATGTTGTGCTTTATTGATCTGTTAATGTATAAGTACAACTTAACTCACTTTTGGTTTTATTATATTTTTTCAATTTGTAATATGGATGATATTAAATTCCATCCGTCCGTGCGTCGGTTACAATTACAACATAGTTCAACTGATCTCGATGAAAATTTGAGGTTGGTTTGAAATTCTCTATCTTTTCTCTTACTCTTACAGTAATAAAGTTATCCATCGGTAAAAATTGTATCATATTTTACAGGCTTCAACTTCCATAATAACTCATAGCGTTTAACATCAATATAATGGCTTATTATCTGGTAGATCGAGGTACATGTCTGTTTGGATGCTCAAACTTTTTTACACGTATAAGATTAACTCCCGTTATATCTGTATGTAGCTAAATCCCAGCTCTGGGGATAATACCACTCTTCGTTTCCTGTTCATTTTGTGATTCTACTCGCTCAACCCAATAAAACACCAATCAGGAGCAGGGCAATACAACATTGTAGAGTATTGAAAATGTGTAGTTTTGTTTCATAGCAACAAGCACTGACTAATGTAATATTTTTTTTTCATTCGTTCATTAATGATATCCTTTGCCACATTAAAGGCTTTGTGTTTGTCACATAGACACAATTCAACATTACGAACAAGTCAATTGTTTACAAACTTGACAAAGTAAGGTAAATTGTCGGTCAATGCGTTCAGAAATCAATTACTCAATTACAAATATATCTTAACCAACGTCTGGAAATTTAGTTCCAAAATTATTTGTAAAACATCAAAGACTAACCAAAAGATAAAGATATTACTATTTGTCATCGGTTTTCATTAAAACTGTTTTTTGTAATAGCAATTACCAATGCCCATTCGTACCAACTTTTCCCGAAGGCAATGCATTTTCTTGCTTTGCAGCTCATACGAAAACAGTGACACCTGGTATATTACTTGTTGACACCTGGTATATTACTTGTTGACATCTGGTATATTACTTGTTGACACCTGGTATATTACTTGTTGACACCTGGTATATTTCTTGTAACAGTACAAGAATAAAAAAACAAAACTCATCTGCATTAAGATAACAGTAAATGAAGTGTAACAATACTCACTTTCCTCCTCTCCTTTTCCATAGAAGGCCGGACGCGTTGTGTCTGGTTTGTAGGATATACAATCTGTTGTTACCGAGGCAACAAGTTCATAATTGCTGTATGGCTTTCCCTGGTTATTTTTGGACAGGCGAAGGGTCAGTGGGTCAGAGCCATTCACACACCAATGACCCATTGGCTTTTTAAGTCTAGTACAGTCCAGTTTCTGTAAACAAGATTAAAACAATCATACCGATGATGTAAACTTCCTTTCTATCATACTGAGAAGAATTTAAGCGTAAGATTATTAGTAATCTTTTGTAGGATTATTAAGGCCAAAACATCAACTCCAAAATTTTGATGAGTCCCAATACCAAGAGATATAACAATAGTGGGTTCTTGAAATTTGAGCGAGTCCCACAGGAAAAAACAAGAGACAATATTCTATCTTTATTTGCTCTTTGAAAGTTTAATCTTTTCCCTCATTTCCCTTCTCTGTTTTTGCTCTTAATGATAAGACATTTGAGCATTCCTTTGCAGAAATAGTGATGACTATCTTTATTTGCCAAATCCAAGATGGTTGCCTTGAAGCCTTTTTGTTTTTTCTGATCAGCCCCAAAATCAAACAGGCACAAGTAGAGACCAAAGGGAACATACATATGAAATGTGAGTTAGATCCATTCAGCAGAAATAGGGATACCATTCTTTAACAGGTGAAATCCAAGATGGCTGCCTGTCGGCCATTATGATTTTATGATCAGTCCCAAACTCAAACAGGGACAACATGGGGCAAAGATGAACCTATACATGAAATCTGAGAAACATCTATGCATTATTTCTCAACAAGAAGCGATAACAAATTTTCTAAATCAAAATCCAAGATGGCCGCCTGTTGGCAATTTTTTTTCTAATCAGCCCCAGAATCAAACAGGCAAAGTTAGGGATCAAGGGAAGCATACAAATGCAATGTTTAGAAAAATCTATGCTGTGGTTCTCAAGAAATAGCGATAAACTTTCGGAGTCTGAATCCAAAATGGCCGTCTGTTAGCCATCTTATTTTTCTGGTCAGTCCAAAAATCAAACAGGCACAAACAAGGACCACCAGAAAGCTACATATGAAATTTTAGAAAGATCCATCTAGAAATAGCGATAACGAAAATTGTTTATGGACGGAAGGACGGACCACAGACGTAGGCGACTTCAATATCCCATCAATCACATGATGGGCTAAGGTAGAAAATGTAGAAAATTCAATTCTTTCACAAAGATTTCTAAGCTACTAATTGTTCTTGCATGCCTTTATGACCGATGCGAAGTATCACAATTCTGGTTTATAATGTAGACTTGTCTGGTAACTACAATATCAAAGTATCTATAAAGCAATTATTATCATGACATTCTTCAGGCCCGTCAACACATAAAATGTCATTAGGGCCATCAAACGGTAAAACATACAGCGATCCCAAAGGAAAAAACATCAAACCGAAAGGTAAAAGATAAATGTTAAAAATATTAAATGGATATGTTAACCCAAAAGATTAAAATGCCATGTCATAGTCTATTATATAGACCAACATCTTTCAGGTAATGTAGGATTTTACAAATCTCAACAGTTTCAAAAAGAGATTTTAGACATGTAATGTTATGATAAAAACATTCTCAGGTAGACAGAAGGTCAATGCAGTCTAATAAAACATGTTTAACGGTGAATGGCTCATCACATCCTATGCACCAAGGATTATCTTCGCATTTCAACATATATGATGTGTAAGGTATGTATGACCCATCCGAAGACGGTCAAGGACAACTTCGTCTCGGTGGCTGTCTCTATAGCCTGGAGACTATTCACTGATAACAGGTTTAACGGAGTGCAATTTGTTTTTGGTATAGGTATTCCATTCCTCCTGCCACTGAGCTATTAAAATTTGTTTAATTAATGGTTTAAAATCGGTAAAATGAATTTTAAAAACAACAGGTGGTAGTGATAAAGCTTCCTTTGCGGCACGATCTGCCTTTTACATTGCTTGGTATTCCCATGTGACCAGGAACCCAGGAAAAGGCAATATGAAAGTTAAAGGCAAGTTCATGATATAGTATTAAGGTATTACAAATGAAGACATTTTCGATATTTCTATTGCTAAGACTTTGTAGAACAGAAAGAGAGTCTGAATGGATAACAGCTCTCATTACTTTGTTTCTTTGAATATATCGAAGGGTGAGGTAGATAGCTTGCACTTCTGCCAATAATATTGAGGCGTTCGGTAACTATAAAGCAATTAGAAAAAAGACTGTTCAAAGACAGGCAAGTACATAACAGTACAGAGTTAAATACAGAGGAGTCAAATAATGAATTTAATCATACAGCTGTTTCATCCTTCTAGGACTTGACAGTGATGCTACATTATACAGCTGTTTCAACCTTCTAGGACTTGACAGTGATGCTACATCATACAGCTGTTTCATCCTTCTAGGACATGTCAGTGATGCTACATCATACAGCTGTTTCAACCTTCTAGGACTTGACAGTGATGCTACATCATACAGCTGTTTCGTCCTTCTAGGACTTGACAGTGATGCTACATCATACAGCTGTTTCAACCTTCTAGGACTTGACAGTGATGCTACATCAGACAGCTGTTTCAACCTTCTAGGACTTGACAGTGATGCTACATCATACAGCTGTTTCGTCCTTCTAGGACTTGACAGTGATGTTACATCATACAGCTGTTTCACCCTTCTAGGACTTGACAGTGATACTACATCATACAGCTGTTTCGTCCTTCTAGGACTTGACAGTGATGCTACATCATACAGCTGTTTCATCCTTCTAGGATTGACAGTTATACTAAGAGCCTAAATTTTGAAGCCTAGGAGGATGGACCGAGGAAAATCAAAATTCATAGATAGACTGTCAAAATCAAGATGGGGGATGGGGGGGTTGGGGTTGCACTTGCCTCATCCCTCAATACATGTAATAGTTTTCAGATGTCAAAGAACATCAATAACATAAGTATATAAACATCGCTTCCAGCACTATGCACAGACAGAGGTCAAGTCAATATGACATCTGGGGTACATAATGTTAAGATTTTCATCAACCTGCAATTTAAAGCGTTATCACACCAAACTTACCAAGCTGCGGTTACCGTGACTAGAATAAAATTCAGCCTCGACGTAACACATGGATTTAAGCGACTCCACATTCACACATGTCACAAGATCCATGTCACATACATTGTTGGTGCTGCTGGATTTAAAGGTAACGACACACCCCTCTCCCAGAGGGACTGAACCCTGGGTCGAGACATTGACCTTTCCGGCTCCTTCTATTGTGTGCGAAGTACCACAGCCCTGTTCGTCTAGATTCACTTGAGTAACTTGAGCGCCTAAGGGAAAAAGAGAGGAGTCATAATGAAAATATAACTTTAAAGTGTGGTTGAAAAGTTGGATGATTCTCTCCAGACACACAAACTGGGTGTAAGAGGAAGTCAACCAACAGATAGGATACTGAATGGTAGAAATAAGGACTACATGGATATCATGTCTATCCTGTCTACAACTTCCCATCTATCAGGTACAGTTACTGATTGTAAGATAATGTTCCAGTTATATCAAATGTTTCCCTTTATCTGGATTGAGCTAAACAACAGCAGGTTCAAATTTCCATGAACTTCTGAAGTTTGAACATTTTTTTCCCACACAAGCTTTAGTAAAAGGTCTGATTTAGTGCTGGAATACAGGAACTTTAGTAGTAAATTCTGATTACAGCTAGGTTACAGGAACTTAAGTAGTAAATTCTGATTACAGCTAGGATACAGGAACTTTGTAGTGATGTCTAATTACAGCTAGGATACAGGAACTTTAGTAGTAAATTCTGATTACAACTAGGATATAGGAACTTTAGTAGTAAATTCTGATTACAACTAGGATATAGGAACTTTAGTAGTAAATTCTGATTACAACTAGGATACAGGAACTTTAGTAGTAAATTCTTATTACAACTAGGATATAGGAACTTTAGTAGTAAATTATGATTACAGCTAGGATACAGGAACTTTAGTTGTAAATTCTGATTACAACTAGGATACAGGAAGTTTGTAGTGATGTCTGATTTACAGCTAGGATACAGGAACTTTAGTAGTAAATTCTGATTACAACTAGGATACAGGAACTTTAGTTGTAAATTCTGGTTACAACTAGGATACAGGAACTTAAGTAGTAAATTCTGATTACAGCTAGGATACAGGAACTTTAGTAGTAAATTCTGATTACAACTAGGATACAGTAACTTTAGTAGTAAATTCTGATTACAACTAGGATACAGGAACTTAAGTAGTAAATTCTGATTACAACTAGGATACAGGAACTTTAGTAGTAAATTCTGATTACAGCTAGGATACAGGAACTTTAGTAGTAAATTCTGATTACAACTAGGATACAGTAACTTTAGTAGTAAATTCTGATTACAACTAGGATACAGGAACTTAAGTAGTAAATTCTGATTACAACTAGGATACAGGAACTTTAGTAGTAAATTCTGATTACAGCTAGGATACAGGAACTTTAGTAGTAAATTCTGATTACAACTAGGATACAGGAACTTTAGTAGTAAATTCTGATTACAACTAGGATATAGGAACTTTAGTAGTAAATTCTGATTACAGCTAGGATACAGGAATTTTAGTAGTAAATTCTGATTACAACTAGGATATAGGAACTTTAGTAGTAAATTCTGATTACAACTAGGATATAGGAACTTTAGTAGTAAATTCTGATTACAACTAGGATACAGTAACTTTAGTTGTAAATTCTGATTACAACTAGGATACAGGAACTTTAGTAGTAAATTCTGATTACAGCTAGGATACAGGAACTTTGTAGATGTCTGATTTACAGATGGGATGTAGGGACTTTTATACAGTAAAGTCATGCTACTTACCTTGTGATGTGGCGGCTAAGGCCACTACGACCAGTAGTGCTAGTGGCATCATCTCCATGTTATCGATGGCACTGTTCCGTCAAGAGTCTGTGGAGGTAAAATCAAACTCTTCAGAAAGCAGCATTCTTATAGTAAGTATTGATAGTCATTGACCAAAGTCCCGTCTCCGCCCGGCCGCCCCTCCCCCCTCCCCCTTCATCTCATCCGACAATACAAATCTTTGTTTACGTGTTCTTTACCCCCATACAGTGGTGGAAATAAACCACACTTCTCAAAAGTCGACCACACTTTTCAGTGTTGACAACTTTTCTAAAAAATATCGACCACACTTTTCAACGGTTGTCGCCGGTAACCATCGCTAATACCATAGGTTGCCGACAACGTTCAAACATTGAACATAATTTTCACACAAAGTCATTTCGTATCTATAAAAATTCGGGCTGGCGTTTCAAAATAACGTCCTGCTGCTCGGACTTAATTCTTGTGTCGCTTTTCCTTCCGTTTCGTCAATATCGTCTGTGGCTTTATCTTCCTGTCACAAAACTATCGTCTGTGGCTTTATCTTCTTGTCACAAAACTATCGTCTGTGGCTTTACCCACTTGCCACAAAACTATCGTCTGTGGCTTTACCCACTTGCCACAAAACTATCGTCTGTGGCTTTACCCACTCGCCACAAAACTATCATCTGTGGCTTTATCCACTTGCCGCAAAACTATCGTCTGTGGCTTTACCCACTCGCCACAAAACTATCACCTGTGGCTTTATCCACTTGCCGCAAAACTATCGTCTGTGGCTTTATCTTCATCTAACAAAATTACCGTCTGTGTCTTTACCCTCCTCTTCGAATGTCTCGTAAATCGCCGAATTTTCCCTGTTTCCATCCGAATCCAGTCCAGCTATTTATACTAAATTCTCCCCTAAAATCCCAATACATCCATGTAATAGATGATATAGATTTTCTGTAGGGGCCTATATCTAAAGGTCGGGACGTCGGACGATTCACGTCTAGCGTCCATGCTGTTACAGTATTAATCAATCTGGACCGAGGAAAACGCCGCTAAAGAAATATACCCGTCAGCAATTGGTTTCAGTAAATTTAAACAGTTTAAAGACTTCCAAGACAAAATTGAACAATGGTTAAAACATTTTATACAGAAATAAGTACACACGATGGACGTGGTTTATGTCATAAGTCGGTATTGTAGATTGGACGGTGTCCGTCGTTCAAGTGAATCTACATAAAATATCGGACACAGTCGAGATTCACTCCGAGTCAACCTCTCTACAGGGGTCTATTGCATGACGTCACAAAATATGAAAATAAAATATGTCTCGTGTTACAAACACCATAAAGACTAGTGTGTCCACACGTGTAATAACACTGTAGTGTAGTGGAACTTAATTGGTAGAGGTTCTCAGTCGGGATGTGTTTCTAATGTGACGTAAATGTGATGATTCTTTATTGGATATACCAATGTGTGACGTCACCAGTGGGAAAAAAACCCAGGATATTTGATGGTTTCATGAGTAAGAGAGCATATCTATATACAGATATATTCTGTCACACAAGCGTAATACGAAATCTCTCCATTTCAGTACATTTTTAAGGATAAAGAAATAAAGGCGACAATTAAAGCATACTATAAACTAGCGTCCAAACCAGTTTTGAAACAGTAGCACGTTCTGTGACGTCAGAGAACGAGTACTATAATCAGCTAACCTTTGTTATATGACTATATTATACTGTGTTGTTTCTGATGGGACAACAGCACGAGTGACGATACCGCAGTCTATCATTATTTCAATAAGTATGCATTGTCAGCCGCGTTTTAATGCGTTCGAACGCTCAGGAATTAATTAGTCCCCTCCAAGTGTAGACAGCCGCCAGTGACTGCCGCGCCACTTTGTAAGAAGTTTTCGTAGTAGAAAAGTTGTCCAGGTAACAAGTGGTTGGAGTAACAGTATCAAGTAAAGGCATACATTGTAAAACATCAAATCTCTTGACAGAAATTTAATATAATAACCGAGGGAAAGGTTACTTTTCACATTATTAACAAATATGTTGATGCAGTCTGAGTACAGCAGAAAGACTATTACTAGCCCGACATACAATATGATACAACTATGAATGGTTATCTACATATGTGTGTGCGCGCGCTATCTCTCACGTCGTCAAGGAGACAAGATAACGACCGGATGTAGTCCTTCAACTTTGACGTTACATAAAATTGCTGGATTGCTGGATGTATCACCATGACAATAACCGAGATCGGGATCAGGCGGGGTCTGCTTGTAGTAACTTATGGTTAACTCGATGAACAACATACTGAAGACCCGTCGCATGCGGCCTAAAGCGATAGGGGTGAATTATCTTGCCAATGGACACAATCAACATGTTTTTGCCACCATGACGATGTTCTATGATTTATATCAACAGGTCGGTCCATTTCTCAGCGATCTCGGAAACACAACAGCTTCAGTAGTATGGCTGGGCTTTCATACTTATGTTACGTCCGATTGGTATATGGATAAACATGGCAACACATGTCCGAGATGTATTAAAACATATTTTACTTATGCTATAAAAGAAGCTGATATAGAGGAGTAATCATATATTGTCGTTATGATTATAAACAGCCCAGATTTTCTCGCCCATAACTTAAACTTCTACAATTACAAAAATATAAGGACGAGGCAAAGCGTAGCACTATGTACATTGTAATTGGAAAACTAACTTATCAAAATCACTATTAATATCAAACCGTTTTTTAATCTGATTGCAATTAATACATAACACAAAGGATTAATTAAATATTATATCAGTGTTCCACTGACACCAATATTCTCTGACCAGCCGTACACAAAAGTTGACAACCCAGAACAATAGACCAGTACTACGTTAGGATCAATGTGGCCGTCTTTGATCTTGTAGTGTATTTACCCCTGGGCCAACACGGTACATTCTTAAACAATTCGGTGTAGTTCTGTGGATTAAGTCCGTGTTAAGACCCCAGGGTAAAAAAATCTTGACGTATTGTTAGATAATCCCTGAACCATTCATAGATAAGATCGCGTGTCCATTTGTAATGATAATTTGTTTGCCACAGGACATGTAGTAGACTCAAGTGAGCGCTAGGTACATTTAACGAGAGGTCTGACTACAAGCATTGGGATAGTTAAAAGTAACAGTCGAATTAAACAGTACCCTTAGCCGACAACCTTTCAACCTCAAAGAAATACAACCACTTCAAGGCAACTATTTTGGATTGATTCAATCCATAAAATATGATCACCGGGTTAAAAAATACGGCACTGTGTTTTTAATCTCTAACAGAAGAGAGTTCCATTTTCTGTGTCAGCAGCAGATAGTGTAGATATATACATACTGAATGTGTACTAGTATACAATATACCCTTCCACCAGTACCAGTTTCTAACAAGAAACCTTTCTATTGAGGATAATGGTAGGTCAGACTCGGGTGTAATGTTCAGGTCTATATTTTTGTGGAGGGAGGAGGGGAGGTTTGTTGCAGTAGGGTGAAACATTTTCTAGGAAGTCAATTCATGTGTTCTCACCGCTTATGACATACCTTCTGCATTAGGTTCGATAATGTAGCCATTGACTACTTCAAAGATACCCCATATATCTTGGCGGTTAACGGAATTACACACTCAGTAATCAACCACGTGCGATACAAAATATATAATCGTAGTTTTTTTTAACGAAGTCAAATGTTTGAATCGGAAGCAAACTTTTAACTCCGCCAATATTGAATTGAGTAAACAGTATGCCTGTAATACATCGAAGTCTCCGTGGCGACACTGGTACAATGAAGTATCCTGCCGCCTCAGAAGTGATGATAACTGCTAGGTGGTACCGCTGATGTTGCTATCACAGACGGTAATCATCATCAGACAGCAGCCATCTTATGGCTATATATTATTTATTTGTCACATGGCACGTGCCGCGTTCTGCATTTCTGACTAAGCCGTGTCGTATACACATCACCTACACGAATAGGTCCCAGGGAAGATGTTGATGTCACTGATTAATGCTGGAACACGAATATTACACGAGAGAAAATCAATGTCTGTAGCGATAAATCTGATCTGGGGATTGCCAGCACTGTAATACTTTAATTAAACCCAAGACGAATAATCCCATTAATGTGTAGAAATCAACACAATAAATATAAAACAATCAACTAGAGTTTATTTATCTAAAAAAAACCAAAGTGATCTCAGGAAGGCTGAATAGTATCAAGCGTTAAAAATATGGCGTCATAAAATCATTACGTTTGTTATTTGGCCATGACATTCATTGAATTATGAATGTCATCTGGTTTTTATAACTATTGCCCTACAGTAGTAAGTATTGAATAATGTATGCGAAATAATTCATATAACTTATTTATGTTTAATAGGTGCCAGCTTGCAATTTTTATAATCGTCGGGGAAGCGGGAGACAGAGAAACAGAATCTATGATAGCAAGGAATGACAACTCTGGTAGCGATTGTGTAGGACTTTTTTGTCTGGTGGTTGTATATCGCTAGGGACAAACAATACATACGTGTATTAAAGTTAGTTTGGTACTTGACGGATTACGTCACTGTGTTAACTCATGTACTCAAAATATGACATATTTATGCCAAAGGCCAGACGCCTGCATAAGTGTCAGCGCTTTTATTCCTGCCGATAAACCGTGCTGTGTTTGCACTCAAATGCTCACAAACAGGTAATGTGTAAAACCTCTGTGAAAACGTTCTTTTGTTCCTGTTTGACACTAAAGTGTCATCGAATTACAGTGTCGATCACTTCTTCACTAACTTCTAGGTGTTTTCATTGTTGGTCTGTACTGCCACCATTTTATATCTTTTCAGGAGAAACGTACATACGTATGGTTAACTTAATTCTATATAAAAGCTTGGAATGTTGGTCTCCTATATAGGGGTTAACCAATGTCGATGTTCTGACACTAGCTCGCTCTCTAATTCAAACAATACAGTTGTTGACAGGTGTATAAAATATAATCTCCCCCCCCCCCCCCCAACCACACCACCAACACTTTCGCTGGTCCCTGCTCACTACTATTCCTACAGGGAAACAATGATGTGTAATTGGTTTTACTCTAGCAGTGAGGTTTCCTGCTTTATACAGACCGAGATGTATATAACACATCTCTGATATAGGTATAATATATTCTTACTATTCCTGCCCGTGTACCTTCATGTGACCTTAATTGAATGCACGTGCGTTTCACATCTGTCTATGTATGTGTAGGTGTAATGTACAGCTGTCTAAAACACAAACACAATGGTAGACACACACGGCGGACTTGGACAGATAAGACTTTCGGCCGTACATGTATATGCTACTGGAATAAAAGCGTTCGAGTATCGACCCCATCTAGTCCCATCATCCTAGCCCTGGTACCAAGGTTATCGCGATAATGTATGGGAAAACATACAAAAAACAATTTAATACTAATTACACAACTATTACAAATTATAATGATGTTCTGTCTATCAGTAATCTTACACAACAACACCCCGAGCTCCCTGAGCTGACCATGCCGGCCAGGTATTGAGCAATCGCCGTTGATCCTCACTCACCTTGAAATTTCCAGGTGACTAAATCGATCGTTTTAACATTTTCACGACTGCTTCAACCATTTTTGTTTCATAGATAAAATAACACGTTCTCACGTGGATCTACACTCAAGCTCTAAATCATCAAAATACGATAGAGCGATTCTTGTCATATTTTCAAGCTAATATCGACTTACCTCGGGGTTCCTTGCTGCCTTGGCGTGGGTACGACTGATGACCTTGACCTCAGCGACTCCGGAGACGTGTCGGCATATATATACATGTACGTTTTACTATACACCTGTGTGACGAACTGACATCGGTCACAATTTTAACCAATCAAACAGCAGTGTTATTGTAAGCCCTTAAAGTCATTGAGAAAACTCAGGTAAGTCGTCGGCTGTGTACAGGTGCAATAAATTACTGTGTATGTAGGAGAGTGGAGATGTGGGATGACATCTATGTGTACTGAGTCGTGGAGAAAACATCCCGACACGGTATATATACTATATACACAGGAGAGAAACCAGAAGTTTTATTAAACTTATCATTGTATGTACCACACTCTATAACCCAGGATGTGTTACGTCACAATCAAAGATTCGATAATGAATTACTACCAGATTATTTTTGATCGTGTTTTGTTTTAATTTGTAATTATAAAGGGGAGAGGGCGAAAAACAAATACCGGCACATATCTTATCTCTTTATCGTCGATAATACTGGTGTACGGTGTTACTGATATGAGAAAGAAATTTCATCAAAAGTAGGCACAATTAGGGAAGTATAACACAATATTATAAGTCCCACTCAAAACGTTGTGATATGTACGGAGCCCGTTAACTGACATGCTCCATACTTATTTAATTTCGTTTTTTCGAAACATTATTTCGTTTTTTTCGAAATAATAATTCGTTTAAACGAAATATTATTTCGTTTTTTCGAAATATAATTCGTTTTTTCGAAATATGATTCGTTTTTTCGAAATATTATTTCGTTTCTTCGAAATAATAATTCGTTTTATCGAAATAATATTTTATTTCGTTTAACGAAATAAAATAAGTATGGAGCATGTCAGTTAACGGGCTCCGTAGATATGTATATGTTTCATTTATAAATCTTATAATGTGGAAAATCAAGATTAGTACTTAATGAAGTAGGAATTTGCCCTGGACAAGTAGTACAGTATATATACCGTATTTATCCCTGGACAAGTAGTACAGTATATATACCGTATTTATCCCTGGACAAGTAGTACAGTATATATACCGTATTTATCCCTGGACAAGTAGTACAGTATATATACCGTATTTATCCCTGGACAAGTAGTACAGTATATATACCGTATTTATCCCTGGACAAGTAGTACAGTATATATACCGTATTTATCCCTGGACAAGTAGTACAGTATATATACCGTATTTATCCCTGGACAAGTAGTACAGTATATATACCGTATTTATCCCTGGACAAGTAGTACAGTATATATACCGTATTTATCCCTGGACAAGTAGTACAGTATATATACCGTATTTATCCCTGGACAAGTCGCACAGTATATATACCGTATTTGTCCCTGGACAAGTAGCACAGTATATATACCGTATTTGTCCCTGGACAAGTAGCACAGTATATATACCGTATTTGTCCCTGGACAAGTAGCACAGTATATATACCGTATTTGTCCCTGGACAAGTAGCACAGTATATATACCGTATTTGTCCCTGGACAAGTAGCACAGTATATATACCGTATTTGTCCCTGGACAAGTAGCACAGTATATATACCGTATTTGTCCCTGGACAAGTCGCACAGTATATATACCGTATTTGTCCCTGGACAAGTCGCACAGTATATATACCGTATTTGTCCCTGGACAAGTCGCACAGTATATATACCGTATTTGTCCCTGGACAAGTAGCACAGTATATATACCGTATTTGTCCCTGGACAAGTCGCACAGTATATATACCGTATTTGTCCCTGGACAAGTAGCACAGTATATATACCGTATTTGTCCCTGGACAAGTCGCACAGTATATATACCGTATTTGTCCCTGGACAAGTCGCACAGTATATATACCGTATTTGTCCCTGGACAAGTCGCACAGTATATATACCGTATTTGTCCCTGGACAAGTCGCACAGTATATATACCGTATTTGTCCCTGGACAAGTCGCACAGTATATATACCGTATTTGTCCCTGGACAAGTCGCACAGTATATATACCGTATTTGTCCCTGGACAAGTAGCACAGTATATATACCGTATTTGTCCCTGGACAAGTAGCACAGTATATATACCGTATTTGTCCCTGGACAAGTAGCACAGTATATATACCGTATTTGTCCCTGGACAAGTAGCACAGTATATATACCGTATTTGTCCCTGGACAAGTCGCACAGTATATATACCGTATTTATCCCTGGACAAGTAGCACAGTATATATACCGTATTTATCCCTGGACAAGTATCACAGTATATATACCGTATTTGTCCCTGGACAAGTAGCACAGTATATATACCGTATTTGTCCCTGGACAAGTAGCACAGTATATATACCGTATTTGTCCCTGGACAAGTAGCACAGTATATATACCGTATTTGTCCCTGGACAAGTAGCACAGTATATATACCGTATTTGTCCCTGGACAAGTAGCACAGTATATATACCGTATTTGTCCCTGGACAAGTAGCACAGTATATATACCGTATTTGTCCCTGGACAAGTAGCACAGTATATATACCGTATTTGTCCCTGGACAAGTAGCACAGTATATATACCGTATTTATCCCTGGACAAGTAGCACAGTATATATACCGTATTTATCCCTGGACAAGTAGGACAGTATATATACCGTATTTATCCCTGGACAAGTAGCACAGTATATATACCGTATTTATCCCTGGACAAGTAGGACAGTATATATACCGTATTTATCCCTGGACAAGTAGTACAGTATATATACCGTATTTATCCCTGGACAAGTCGCACAGTATATATACCGTATTTATCCCTGGACAAGTAGTACAGTATATATACCGTATTTATCCCTGGACAAGTAGCACAGTATATATACCGTATTTATCCCTGGACAAGTAGCACAGTATATATACCGTATTTATCCTAATAAACGTCCCATCACTCAATACACTCATGATTCATTTCTAGATAATGTTTTCATGTGAAAAATAACTGGATTAAATAGATAACTCACTTCTCAAGTACCGGTAACTGGGGGGAGGGGGAGGGGGGCGTTTATTAGAGGAGGCGTTAAGTAGGATAGATACGGTATATATCATTCGAAATATATTGCTAATGGAGGTATTTAGGAATAAATTGCACATGTTTTTAAGTTTGATCAATAACATATAGAGTCATGGAATAGCATTAACACATACACAGCAGTTGTTAAAATATTTAGAATTTTACCTACGACTATAATTCAGCTTACTCAACGCAAGGTGTTCACTTTGGTTTGAAATCGAAGGAATCGAGGCCTATGTCTGTGGGAACAAATCTAAAGTCCTATTTTCCATTATCCATTTGTATCGTTAGACGGAAAATTAAATCAACAAAGCGAACTCTCTTATGTGAACCTTCGGAGCTAAATAATAGGAAATGGGTGTAAATCATTCAAAGGACATATAATCTGTGTCATTACGGATCTGTTGTAAAATCTGCTACCCGTGTATAGAGGCTAAGAGTCCTAACAATTTTATCATTTTGAGAAGTAAAACCATCTCCATGTTTTCGTTGAAGATTTCTTCATTAATTTTCTGTTCTAAAATTTTAAAAAAATCTGTCTTTTCCAGTTATCTCAGTTACGTTTTGTGATACACACCAACCTTAAATAACATTTATCTTACAAACTTCCTTCCCAGGAAAGAATTCGTCCTCGATTTTCCATGTGTTACAACGATGCTTGTAATTGTAACATGAAGTCGTTTCATAACCAGGACAGATCTTACTACACGTACAGTGTTTGTGTTCTGCCACTTCATGACCAGGGCAGATCTAACTACACGTACAGTGTTTCTGTTCTGCCAGTTCATGACCAGGATATATCTAACTACACGTACAGTGTTTGTGTTCTGCCAGTTCATGACCAGGACAGATCTAAGTTCACGTACAGTTTATGTGTTCTGTCAGTTAATGACCAGGACAGATCTTACTACACGTACAGTGTTTGTGTTCTGTCAGTTAATGACCAGGATATATATCTAAGCACACGTACAGTGTTTGTGTTCTGTCAGTTCATGACCAGGGCAGATCTAAGCACACGTACAGTGTTTGTGTTCTGCCAGTTCATGACCAGGGCAGATCTAAGTACACGTACAGTGTTTGTGTTCTGTCAGTTCATGACCAGGGCAGATCTAAGTACACGTACAGTGTTTGTGTTCTGCCAGTTCATGACCAGGACAGATCTTACTACACGTACAGTGTTTGTGTTCTGTCAGTTAATGACCAGCGGATATATATCTAAGCACACGTACAGTGTTTGTGTTCTGTCAGTTAATGACCAGGATATATATCTAAGTACACGTACAGTGTTTGTGTTCTGCCAGTTCATGACCAGGACAGATCTAAGTACACGTACAGTGTTTGTGTTCTGCCAGTTCATGACCAGGGCAGATCTAAGTACACGTACAGTGTTTGTGTTCTGTCAGTTAATGACCAGGATATATATCTAACTACACGTACAGTGTTTGTGTTCTGTCAGTTAATGACCAGGACAGATCTTACTACACGTACAGTGTTTGTATTCTGCCAGTTCATGACCAGGATATATATCTAAGCACACGTACAGTGTTTGTGTTCTGTCAGTTCATGACCAGGATATATAACTAAGTACACGCACAGTGTTTGTGTGCTGTCAGTTAATGACCAGGATATATATCTAAGCACACGTACAGTGTTTGTGTTCTGTCAGTTAATGACCAGCGGATATATATCTAAGCACACGTACAGTGTTTGTGTTCTGTCAGTTAATGACCAGGATATATATCTAAGTACACGTACAGTGTTTGTGTTCTGTCAGTTCATGACCAGGACAGATCTTACTACACGTACAGTGTTTGTATTCTGCCAGTTCATGACCAGGATATATATCTAAGTACACGTACAGTGTTTGTGTTCTGTCAGTTAATGACCAGGATATATATCTAAGCACACGTACAGTGTTTGTGTTCTGTCAGTTCATGACCAGGATATATATCTAACTACATGTACAGTGTTTGTGTTCTGTCAGTTAATGACCAGCGGATATATATCTAAGCACACGTACAGTGTTTGTGTTCTGTCAGTTAATGACCAGGATATATATCTAAGCACACGTACAGTGTTTGTGTTCTGTCAGTTCATGACCAGGATATATATCTAACTACATGTACAGTGTTTGTATTCTGTCAGTTAATGACCAGCGGATATATATCTAAGCACACGTACAGTGTTTGTGTTCTGTCAGTTAATGACCAGGATATATATTTAAGCACACGTACAGTGTTTGTGTTCTGTCAGTTAATGACCAGGATATATATCTAAGCACACGTACAGTGTTTGTGTTCTGTCAGTTTATGACCAGGATATATATCTAAGCACACGTACTGTGTTTGTGTCCTGTCAGTTAATGACCAGGATATATATCTAAGCACACGTACAGTGTTTGTGTTCTGTCAGTTAATGACCAGGATATATATCTAAGCACACGTACAGTGTTTGTGTTCTGCCAGTTCATGACCAGGACACATCTAACTACACGTACAGTGTTTGTGTTCTGTCAGTTAATGACCAGGATATATATCTAAGCACACGTACAGTGTTTGTGTTCTGCCAGTTCATGACCAGGACAGATCTTACTACACGTACAGTGTTTGTGTTCTGCCAGTTCATGACCAGGACAGATCTTACTACACGTACAGTGTTTGTGTTCTGCCAGTTCATGACCAGGACACATCTAACTACACGTACAGTGTTTGTGTTCTGTCAGTTAATGACCAGGATATATATCTAAGCACACGTACAGTGTTTGTGTTCTGCCAGTTCGTGACCAGGACAGATCTAACTACACGTACAGGGTTTGTGTTCTGCCAGTTCATGACCAGGACATATCTAACTACACGTACAGTGTTTGTGTTCGGCCAGTTCATGACCAGGACATATCTAACTACACGTACAGTGTTTGTGTTCTGCCAGTTCATGACCAGGACAGATCTTACTACACGTACAGTGTTTGTGTTCGGCCAGTTCATGACCAGGACATATCTAACTACACGTACAGTGTTTGTGTTCGGCTGATTGACTGTGTTTGTTGTGAATGTTTGTATTTTTATCATGTGTATATTGAAAAAGAGATATATATGATATATATTTACTTTTCACACCTTGTTAAGATTTAGGATTAAATTGGATTGTAGAAAAAAGCTTTCCTAATGTTTAAAGTAGAAGCAGGACAATTTAAAACAAGGACACGCAAATCTTATTAATATCATTTATTCATAGAATTGATAATAAAAATATTTGCGTCAACAATGATTTATAAACAAAACACATTCCAGTTGCTAATAGTTTCTGATCTCTTCTAGGTTAATTTCAGTCAGGCTGTATATATCTAATTCACTTTTTCACAACCCGGACCTAATGAATTTCTGTTTTACAGATAGACATGGACAGGAATTACTTCTTGTCTAACTCGATGTTATTCTATCTGCTTTTACACTAAAGTATTTCTACTAAAACAACTCGACCGTAAACTGAATCTACCTTAGTAACCCGACCCTAAAGTGTATCTACTTCAGCAATTCGACCTTAAACTATTTTTTTACCTTAAACTATTTCTCGTTGAATAGGTCGACCTAAACTATTTCGTATTGAACAACTCGACTAAAGCCATTTCTTGTTAACAACCTAACTCTAGACTATTTCTAATTTAACTTCTCGATCCAAATTATTGAACAATATCTAACAATGAGAACCTTAACTATTACTCTTTAAACAACTTGACCCTAAACTACAAGTACATGTATCTACATTGAAACAATGAAATTAAGTAAGCATGTCTACTGACTACCAGGTCATTACAACCGTCTCAAATAGCTGTTTATAAATGAGTATAAACATCGGTAATTTTGAGGCAATTGAGTAAACACTATATACTTAAGACCCTTATGACACGTGCTATTTCTTGTAGACAAGTGATTCACATATGACATATACAATTGGTGAATCACATATGACATCTACACGTGCAGACACACGTGTAGCCCTGAGGTCTTGTTGTAATATCAAGTAAGTAGAATCACCGCGGCATTCAAGTCAGTAAATTTTATCCAAGTTTGTGTCCTTTGTAACTCCGAGATTCAAACGTAAATTCTTTAGTGACATAAAAAGTATGTTCTCTTCACTTAAAAACACATTTCCTTCCTCAAATGTACAAACTAACAATGATACAATATTGAAGTTTTTCAGAAACAGCAGGATTATTGTGTATCTAACTTTTCAAAATTGGGAATGCTGTGAATATATATAAAGTATGAGCTAACACACACACATTCTCACACACACGTACTAAAGTTGGCCATCAGTTGGAGATGCTTCATGTCCTTTAGGCGTGGTCCTATTGATTACGCTTGCTGTGCACCAGGTTTTAATTAACATCGACCCAGGGCGGTTTTCATCACATGAATCATCTCTCCACCCTCGGGACCTCATACACAATTACTCTGACGGGCACGCAACCTTACACAACGAAGCTTAACAGAGTTATATCCCTTGCTTTCAAACACAGGAGTTGCCTCCCTTAGATTGAGTTTACAGTGAAAATAAAGCCTTCCAAATTGGTGTTTTCTTGGATACATTGTTTCCATGGTAACTGGTGCCTAACGTATGGCTGTTGAAGTAATCGCTTCATGATGAAGGCACTCCCGCATGCTGCGCCTGTTGTGTAACTACAAATCCGGAAAATATAAGTGAATTCCAAACAACCTTTATAGCTGTTGTTTTTCCTGGTTACATCTCCTGTTTGATGTCAATTTTTAAGCCTCCTGTCCATTTTACTCCTGGTTATTTCCCCTGTCTGATGCCATAGTTATCCTCCTTGTCTATTATCCCTGTTTACGAGTCCTGTCTCAGGCCGGGGTCTCTTTTGTTTTTGTACCAGAAGTAAGTGAGAGCGAGGGTGACGAGGAAGACACTCGCTAGACAACAAGCCACGATCACGCCAATAATACGTGTCTGATTGATAGCCTCTTCTAGATCAATTGGTACAAAATCTGAAAAAGACAGATGAAAATCGTGAGTCTTAATTTGATTTGTCCTTAACCATCTCTGTTAGCAAACGTTATATCTGTTACTATAATAACCCTTTCCACCTCTGACCCCAGACTACACAAGTGTTACTATAACAACCCTTTCCACCCCTGACCCCAGACTACACATGTGTTACTATAACAACCTTTTTAACCTCTGACCCCAGACTACACATGTGTTGCTATAACAACTCTTACCATCCCTAACCCCAGACTACATATTTTTTACTATGGCAACCCTCACCGTCCCTACCCCAGACTACACATGTGTTACTATAACAACCTTTTCCACCTCTGACCCCAGACTACTCATGTGTTGCTATAACAACCCTTACCATCCCTAACCCAAGACTACATAATTGTTACTATAACAACCTTTATCATCCCTTACGCCAGACTACATATCTGTTACTATAACAACCCTTACCGGACCTAACTCCAGACTACATAACTCTTACTATGGCAACCCTGACCACCCCTTACCCCAAACTAAACATTTGTTACTACGGCAACCCTTACCGTCGACGACCTCCTCATGGTCAGCATCGTTGTTCTTGCACTTTGAGGAAACTGTTATGTTGAAGGAGTAACCTGAAGTTTCGGCGTAACTTGGTTTCTCCAAAACGGTTACCTCTAGAAATTGGGCATTGGTACACCATCCTTCTGGAACCTTCTTACCACATCCTAGTTCCTGTCGGATCAATTAAACGTTAGAGTTATATACACCAAAGTGTCTCCGGCATAAATTGTGTCTACAAACTCGTGTACTGTACCAAAAACTGTTATTACATACAATGTACAAGGTTTGTATAGATTGATAAAATAAAATTTCCAATTTGTTGACAAATGATGTATGGACTATAAGAACAGCTGATACATTGGACACATTAACTGGTAAGTAAAACGCTGTAACAGTTGTCAAGTATGACTATTATTTTGTCCTTGGAACCTATATATGTTGTATCGTCCAGTGGGTTATGCTATAGTCGATGGCATTAAAATAGAGAATTCAGTAGGACGACGAGTTTCTGCTGTCAATCTTAACTTTCTACAAGGAGGGTGCATTACGTAATGGTGACAAAGGATCCAATTCAAACGAGCTCCGGATTTTTCTCCGTTTATTCATTTTATAGAATATCAATAGTGAGCGTTACGAGCGCTTTTGGCGTCGTGTATGGAAATTGGTTGAAAAAAAAGATCAGTCTTAGTCATTGGACTTTCTTGTAGAACGAGATTTTTAAGCTTCTAAGCTATCAACTCGTTAAAAACTCATTCCGACCTACCAAAATATGTCATCAAGTATTCTTGTGGAAGAACAGCAAAGGAAATATCTACATGTCGACAGATAATCCAAACTCAAATTCAACAGAAATTTTATACCGGATATCTACATGTCGACAGATAATCCAAACTCAATTTCAACAGAAATTTTATACCGGATATCTACATGTCGACAGATAATCCAAACTCAAATTCAACAGAAATTTTATACCGGATGGAAGTGACAAGTATCTCTATTTTATACTCGATAGAAGTGACAAGTATCTCTATTTTATACTCGATAGAAGTTACAAGTATCTCTATTTTATACTCGATAGAAGTTACAATTATCTCTATCTTATACTCGATAAAAGTGACAAGTATCTCCTTTTTATACCTGATAGATGTGACAAGTATCTCTATTTCATACCAGACAGAAGAGACAGGTATCTCTATTTTATACCAGAGAGAAGAGACAGGTATCTCTATTTTATACCGGATAGAAGGGACAAGTATCTCTATTTTATACCTGACAGAAGAGACAGGTATCTCTATTTTATACCGGATAGAAGGGACAAGTATCTCTATTTTATACCTGATAGAAGTGACAAGTATCTCTATTTTATACCTGATAGAAGTGACAAATATCTCTATTTTATTCCTAATAGAAGTGACAAGTATCTCTATTTTATACCTGATAGAAGTGACAAGTATCTCTATTTTATACCTGATAGAAGTGACAAATATCTCTATTTTATACCTGATAGAAGTGACAAGTATCTCTATTTTATACCTGATAGAAGTGACAAATATCTCTATTTTATACCTGATAGAAGTGACAATTATCTCTATTTTATACCGGATGGACGGGAAAGATTTTGATTCCGTATGAATGATTAAGGTATCTTTTTTTCATTTCCGGAGGAAAGTATCGCTATGCATTCCGAATGGCAGAGGAATTTATTCAACTTTTTATTCCAGGTTGTCGAGGAAGATATCCAGACGGCCTTCATGTCGAGAATAAACGTAGTTGCTTTACTACTTACAGCTACTGAGTCTGTCTTCTCGAAATGCTTTCCAGAAATGTGAACTTTGGCAAAACAGAATTCCATGTGACTATGGACAACGTCTACACAAAGATGGCGGTAGGAACAGTTAGCTGGCGCGTCACCCACGGCGGATATTAACACGCTGTAGTATCCTTCTGGTGCCTTCCCACTGGACGAGAGACGGGCCTCCTGGCTGAATCCGAGCTCTACGGCACCACATTGAGTGGAAGCGGCTCCTGTGTCCATCAGCACTGAGAAGGAACATTTTATAGTTTAATAATTCATGACATCTTTACCAATACTATAACAACACATACCATCCCTTGTTCCAAGCTAATCACAACTTCCGCCATATTGAAAAGTCAAAGTTTGTAAAAAAAAAAAAAAAAAAAAACCGAAAATCCACCATTAAACACATGCTTTATCAGATACAACACTATGAAATGAAGATTTTATGCAAGTTGATGAAATTGAAATCCATTTTTTATTTACCTTCAAAATGTTGTTTAAAACCACTATAAATGCTAAAACTTCTTGAAATTTACATTGTCCAGTGTTGGTTAGGAAATATTTGATAATAACGTTTGGATGCTTACCGTTTATAACAGCCTGTTCACATCTGACTACGGACAGTAGCACACTGACCAGAGACAAAACCAGCACGGAATTCATAGTGGATTCTGTAACATTCAACATGGAGAAAAAAACTGTTTGTAAATCTATGTCGTATATTAAAAGGAGTCACAATATATCTCCTATACATATATACACAATGATTCATAGTAACCTGAATAAAGTCGCTATCATACATAATGTATATCAATACAGATCTACATCTTGAGTAAAGGTCGTACACGTATGACAAATTACTACAATTAGTTTCAGTTGTCTTTTAAACATACGGAAAACGTGACAGGAAACAAACAATCCTAAAATAGACTGTGATTGATGCGAATTAATTCTGCACGAGTTAAAATGTTGCATTTGTATGTATAAAGATCCATAGTTTTCCGTTTATATATCATTTTTTGTTCGTTTTTAAACAACTAAAAATACAAGATTTAATTTACACCATAAACCTGGTAACCGACGTTTAAACAACTACAAGCTGACCTCTCTAGAATACACGTGCTGTACATAATTATAGAAAAGTGACATCATTGAAGCGTGACCAGAAAGTGGCGTAATTATGAAGTAATTATGTATGCAGATAAATGAATATTACCATAATTAATGGGCGTGGAAGAATAACATACTGCGCCTTATTCTAAACTCGAATTAATATGACACTTTAAACATCATGGTTCCGACAATAGCCATTTTTTACACACTGTTGTTAAATCATTATCAATTGATACATTCTTGTGACAATGAAGAATACACTACATAAATGCATAAAGTGCTTTTATTGTCAATACTGATTTGACGAGAAACACCACTCATTTTGAAATATATACAGTACATGAGGCATGTGTCAACAAGGGTCACTGAGAACGGTAAACGTGATATCTGAAAGCTTTCTGTTATTCTCTTTTTAAACTTTGTGTCAAATTGTCTGTGTGTGTACTACTGTAACATGTATGATATATAGCTATAAATTGCAGTCACAATGACAGAAAAGTTGGTGGAAAAGTGGGGAGGGGGTACTTTACTGAAAAATGACGTATGAGGTCAGGTGACCCTCGCCGGTCACGTACCTGTCCCTTTAACCCCAACAAATCTTTTTCAAAATGGACACCATCATTCATCTTTCTTGTACATCACGTGACACGTATAGTGTGGTACATAAACTGTAGCCAGTGTCAAATATGGAGGTGACACGACAGCATGATCAGAACACGTGTTCCACGAAAGTTTCGAGAGAGAAAAGCTAAAGATTGCATCAAAGACACTGCACACGCATTGCATCACATTAGGCTTACGTCTGTGTGAAAATAATATCTATATACTTTAAACAGAACAAAATGAGTATAGAAATTGGAAGATTATGAATAAAGGAATCTTACGTGATTATTTGTGAGATCGGTTCTGATTGGTGATCATGTTACCAGATGTAATCCACTTAAGTATGGCGTCGTTAAAGGGTCCTACAAGGATTATTGCTGAATTCCTTTCGGTTATATAAAGATGAACCGGGAAATCTCGGTTTATAAAATACATGATACAGTTTATGTAACGGAACTCAGAGGTTGGAGATCTCATAAAACATATCTTAAAATACATAGTGCCAACCACTGGCCTAGCCGGAATGTTTAAGAACCAAACCCCCACACATGAAAATTGTAATGTTTAAGGACACGAGTCGGGGACACTCTCACCGTATCAGGAGGGCTTCCTGTTGAAGAGTAGATATTCATTTTAATAATGATATACTAACGACAAGGTTTACATATTAAGTGCATGATATTTTTGTACATTTCCCGGGCGAATATTTCATACTGAGTGGAGCATGGTTTCAAGAAGGGGTCAACGTAATAGGCAGATTTCTACAGGAGAATTGGTTTTAGTAATAAAACGGGAACGGAAACCCAACATATTACTTAAAATCATATATTTCTGTTGATCGCAAATTTCGTGGTTTTAAAAAATCAGCATTCTTGTTTGCATTTAACTTGTTCGGTAAATCTTGCCGTTGAAATCTACCAATACCTAATACTATTATCCTTACCAATGTTGATCCGTACACCAGTTTGAGGATTAAAATTAACCTTGGTTTCAACAAAAATACAACTCTAATGAAATGACTTAACGGTATTTTGTTAGAGGAAAAATCAACATATTACAGGAGGTGACCATAATGTATATTGTGTTGTTACAGGAGAGGTTAACATAATATATTGTTGTTATTGGAGAGGTCAACATACTCAACATAATATATTGTTGTTAAAGGAGAGGTCAACATAATATATTGTTATTACTGGAGAGGTCAACATAATATATTGTTATAACAGGAGAGGTCAACATAATATAGTGTTATTACAGGAGAGGTCAACATAATATATTGTTGTTACAGGAGAGGTCAACATAATATATTGTTATTACTGGAGAGGTCAACATAATATATTGTTGTTACAGGAGAGGTCAACATAATATATTGTTATTACAGGGGAGGTCAACATAATTTATTGTTGTTACTGGAGAGGTCAACATAATATATTGTTATGACAGGAGAGGTCAACATAATATAGTGTTTATACTGGAGAGGTCAACATAATATAGTGTTATTACTGGAGAAGTCAACATAATATATTGTTATAACAGGAGAGGTCAACATAATATAGTGTTGTTACTGGAGAGGTCAACATAATATAGTGTTATTACTGGAGAGGTCAACATAATATATTGTTATAACAGGAGAGGTCAACATAATATAGTGTTATTACTGGAGAAGTCAACATAATATATTGTTATAACAGGACAGGTCAACATAATATAGTGTTGTTACTGGAGAGGTCAACATAATATAGTGTTATTACTGGAGAGGTCAACATAATATATTGTTATAACAGGAGAGGTCAACATAATATAGTGTTGTTACTGGAGATGTCAACATAATATAGTCTTATTACAGGAGAGGTCAACATAATATATTGTTATTACAAGAGAGGTCAACATAACATAATATAGTGTTGTTACAGGAGAGGTCAACATAATATATTGTTATTACTAGAGAGGTCAACATAATATATTGTTATTACAGGAGAGGTCAACATAATATAGTGTTGTTACAGGAGAGGTCAACATAATATATTGTTATTACTAGAGAGGTCAACATAATATAGTGTTATTACAGGAGAGGTCAACATGATATATTGTTGTTAATGGTGAGGTCAACATAATATATTGTTGTTACTGGGGAGGTCAACATAATACAGTGTTATTACAGGAGAGGTCAACATAATATATTGTTATTACAGGAGATGTCATCATAATATATTGTTATTACTGGAGAGGTCAACATAATATATTGTTATAACAGGAGAGGTCAACATAATATAGCGTTGTTACTGCAGATGTCAACATAATATAGTGTTATTACAGGAGAGGTCAACATAATATATTGTTATTACAGGAGAGGTCAACATAATATAGTGTTGTTACAGGAGAGGTCAACATAATATATTGTTATTACTAGAGAGGTCAACATAATATAGTGTTATTACAGGAGAGGTCAACATGATATATTGTTGTTAATGGAGAGGTCAGCATAATATATTGTTGTTACTGGAGAGGTCAACATAATATATTGTTGTTACTGGAGAGGTCAACATAATACAGTGTTATTACAGGAGAGGTCAAATATATATAAATTTGTAGTGTTAGAGGAAATGTCAACATTATATTGCTTTGTATGTGTATTTGTCGTCAAGACTTTTGTGTCCTAGGTACAGCACGGATTTCCCAGAGGGTTGAGGTTTAATGTAGATTGAATGGTGATAATTCAGACACCAGTGATCATGTCATGTCCAGGAGAAAATTCAGCAGCCAAACGTTATTCAAATAAATATTTATATAATGGAAATCAGTAACAGGAAAGCAGTATGGCTATTAAAAAGTCCATCAGAAAGGACTTCACTGTTGTGGGCCAAATGATCCTGGGGGCTGTTTCTAGTAGTGACTTTTATGTGTCTGAGTGACCGTTACATTGACAGGCTAACGAGGGTTGGACAAGGACATGTCCTGGCACCAATAGTGCCACTGACATGACGGTGTGACGTCTCGGCCAAACCCAGTGACATCAGAACTGATTTATGTAGCTTTGCTGTGAGATATTCATAAATACATAATTTATATATAAATTTGTTGACAAAGATACTTTTCCGAAATAGAAATCGTTATAAGGTCTATCACTATTGATAAAGAAACATTTATATGAAGTAGAGATAGATAAATATTATTTACCTGAAATATTTTTTTAAACATACAAGTGCTTGATAAACTTTTTCTTTCATTTATCTGAAATACTTTTCCAAACATACAAGTGCGCGTGGAACAGTCATACTATCTATAAACAATCATACGTTTGTAAATCTAAAAAGGTAATTTACAGAAAAACATACTGAATTTATTAATCTATTACAGCGAAACATTGTGTGTGGAACATTTATATTGTTTATATAAAATTTCTATCTTAAGGTATTTGGGTCAGCAATATTTTGCTTTATTTATACAGAAAGTATTAGAACTATTTATTCAGTTACTATCCTATAACGTCTTCGATAGGAAAATGGTGATAATTTGATCTTAAGCCACCTAGAATGTTTGTAATGACTTCATTCATTTCTCTGAAAGTGTTCTACGTCATCATATAAAGCACAAATGTATTTTCCGATAAACCATCAGATATATACAGATTACACAGTAGAAGTTTAACTTTAGAACAATTTCCGGTTCCGGCCTGCCCGGATGTTTAATCTTATCTACATTACTATGATACAGACTGTATACACATTGTCGTTAATGAACTCCATTCCTCGTAACACAATGGCCACTCCTGTTTCTTAAAGCTATTTAAGGAATAATATAATATTTAATTACGTGTACAAATAAATAATGACAGTAATAATAAGAACAATTTCAATAAGAAATATTCCCGTGGCGATAGGTTTGCTTTCAAACATCATATAGTTTTGCAATCCACATGTATCATAAAGATATTTGCATACAAAAAGACGGACGAGAAAGTTGTATAAGCTGATTTACATAATTCCATTAGTTTCTTCAGTATCGGTTTAATTAAACCTGCCTCGTGGTGCTGACTGTTAAACATGCATTTCCTCGTTTCAACATGTGCTAATTATAGTAATCGCAGATAACTGATGGTAGGAGTCACCTTTACGTCGTTTTCAAGGTTGATTCCAAAGTATTGTGAGTTTCACATGATTTTCTATCTAATCCTAAGCAAGCTGTGGTTGATTGACATAGGACGTCTTGTGTTCGAAACGTAGACGACAGTGGAAGCGAGAGAGACAGAAACGGGGGGAAAGAGAAAGAAAAGAGAGAGTGACTTACCTGTAGAGACGGTCTGTTGATGACTTTGGCGCGACCTACACCTGTATCTGATGGGAGGGGAGTTAGTGTACCTGGTCGCTCGCACTTCGTTAACTGAAACAATATGAGGCCCTACAGTGGGAATGACGTAGTGGTACTGGAGAGGGGCCTCCGGGGATAATACTGTATCACTACTCAGGCCAGTGTGTCCACGATTACTCACAACAATAACGTACATGTCAAACACGTATAGTACAATGCTTTACACTATCCATCAGCGTCATCCAATCAGGGAGCAGCAATTCTCGTAAATGGAATACAAGTGTTTTTCAAGCAAAAGTTTTAGATAAAAACACTTTACCGATTAAGTATAGGTAATCATCATATATGACAAAAGTAACAAGAAAATGTTCAAGTTTGAAAGCACTAGTTCTCATCCGCTGTGTTTTATTTTCGGGTTTTATTATTCGGTTTTAAGTGAGGCTGGTATATAGAATGTTCGTTTGTTTGTTGGTTTACCGGTTACTGTTGGATGGAAGGTGTATAGTTCGATCCCCTGGAAAGGAATTGTGTTTATCAGTAAGATCAAAGTAAGGCTGGTGTTGTTGTTGTGGCTTCTGGCATGTTATCTTAATTGCTTTGTATAACACGCGGCGGAATTCCTGTATGTTGTTCAGTGAGATTGTCACCAACAACTAGACCCGTCTGAAAAGGACCCTGGTGGATGACAATGTGAAGGTTTCTGATATTGATTTTCTTGCTTGACAGATACTTGTTTGATCTCTCCATGAATGCTACCTATTGATAGGGTATTTGCTTGAAAGGTATTTGTTTGTAGGGTATTTGTTTGTAGGGTATTTGTTTGAAGGGTATTTGTTTGTAGGGTATTTGTTTGTAGGATATTTTAGGTATTTGTTTGTAGGGTATTTGTTTGTAGGGTATTTGTTTATAGGGTATTTGTTTGTAGGGTATTTGTTTGAAGGGTATTTGTTTGTAGGGTATTTGTTTGAAGGGTATTTGTTTGTAGGGTATTTGTTTGTAGGGTATTTGTTTGAAGGGTATTTGTTTGTAGGGTATTTGTTTGAATGGTATTTGTTTGTAGGGTATTTGTTTGTAGGGTAGTTGTATGCTATTTGTTTGTAGGGTAATTGTATGATATTTGTTTGTAGGGTAGTTGTTAAGAAAATGTGTTGTTTAAAGTATTTGTTTGAATGTTATTGACTGTAGGATACCAGCTCGTCGTTTCAGAATACCCTGGTATGGAAATCGGCGATTGACAATTGAATACAAAATCAACTTATTTGTATTTTTCTCCTATCAGGTTACCGTACATCATTTATTCGTAAATTAGCTTGTAATGTCAGAAAAAGTTTTGTTGTTGTTGTTAAATTAGGACGATACAAAATATCCCTCATCCTGGCCCCAACTCACAGGCTGTTTGGAATCTACATGTAAACTGTATGTGTGTATACATTTCTATTAAATAGTGACAGTTGCATATTGTAAAAAAACACATTTCTGTAAATAAGACCTTCTCTGTTATTGGTTAGAATTGTCTTATTGACCAATGAGAATCGTCCGTACAACTGCCCGCTGGTGACCGTGATGTCCTTCCCCTAGGCTGTCCCGTTGATGATAAATGTCGAGATGACAGGACCGACCTGTTAGCTGTCGCGCAGGTCATTTGTCTCGTCTGCCCTCATCTATCTTGTACAGACCTGGTAAAAATTACACAATATTACACGATTTTATTGTTTTGATTCTTCGCTAATGTATCTTGTTCTTGATTTGACTGAGATGCATTCTCTCTTACTAATTGTACAACGTTATTGTATAAGAAACAAAATGTCGGCCAAATAGACGTACACATTTGTTATTCCTCACGTAACTACGTTCACAAATACTAACAACCCGGCACAGGGACAGAATAAATAGTAATAACCCTCACCTGTAACATGAATATCTTTCTGACAAAGGCCATGTCAGTGATATCTTATACCGGGTTAACTACGGTAGTTACAATAATCACGATAATGATTCAAGGGAACTTTTTACGTAGAGAATGTGCGTTGATTTCGTGTTATCTCGAAACACAATTTAATGAGGAAAATATGGTAAGGGGACAATTCATTACGAACTATTTCGGTACATCGGATTAATGCAGCGACAAAAAAAAAAACCCCGAAAAAACCCACGTTAAGGAAACTATTGCGTTAATTTCAAAAATAGCGAGGTCGTTCCGAAGGGTTATTTCAACTGGAATTCTCTCGAAAATTTCTCAGAATAAATTTGCCTATAAAACGGTAAATTCAGATGTACTTCACTAAAACTGATTGTTACTGTATCACATTAATGGTGAATGTTACTGTATCACATTAATAGAGAATGTTTCACTAGAACTGAATGTTACTGTATCACATTAATGGTGATTGTTACTGTATCACATTAATGGTGAATGTTACTGTATCACATTAATGATGAATGTTACTGTATCACATTAATAGAGAATGTTTCACTAGAACTGAATGTTACTATATCACATTAATGGTAAATGTTACTATATCACATTAATGGTGAATGTTACTGTATCACATTAATGGTGATTGTTACTGTATCACATTAATGGTGATTGTTACCGTATCACATTAATGGTGACAGTTTCATTAGAACTGAATGTTACTGTATCACATTAATGGTGAATGTTACTGTATCACATTAATGGTGATTGTTACTTTATCACATTAATGGTGAATGTTTCATTAGAACTGAATGTTACTGTATCACATTAATGGTGGCAGTTTCATTAGAACTGAATGTTACTGTATCACATTAATGGTGGCAGTTTCATTAGAACTGAATGTTACTGTATCACATTAATGGTGATTGTTACCGTATCACATTAATGGTGGCAGTTTCACTAGAACTGAATGTTACTATATCACATTAATGATGAATGTTACTGTATCACATTAATGGTGATTGTTACCGTATCACATTAATGGTGATTGTTATTGTATCACATTAATGGTGAATGTTACTGTATCACATTAATGGTGAATGTTACTGTATCACATTAATGATGAATGTTACTGTATCACATAAATGGTGAATGTTACTGTATCACATTAATGGTGAATGTTACTGTATCACATTAATGATGAATGTTACTGTATCACATAAATGGTGAATGTTACTATATCACATTAATGGTGATTGTTACTTTATCACATTAATGGTGAGAGTTTCATTAGAACTGAATGTTACTGTATCACATTAATGGTGGCAGTTTCATTAGAACTGAATGTTACTGTATCACATTAATGGTGGCAGTTTCATTAGAACTGAATGTTACTGTATCACATTAATGGTGGCAGTTTCATTAGAACTGAATGTTACTGTATCACATTAATGGTGAATGTTACTGTATCACATTAATGGTGAATGTTACTGTATCACATTATTGGTGAATGTTACTGTATCACATTAATGGTGATTGTTACTTTATCACATTAATGGTGAATGTTACTTTATCACATTAATGGTGAATGTTACTGTATCACATAAATGGTGAATGTTACTGTATCACATAAATGGTGATTGTTACTGTATCACATTAATGGTGATTGTTACCGTATCACATTAATGGTGACAGTTTCATTAGAACTGAATGTTACTGTATCACATTAATGGTGAATGTTACTGTATCACATTAATGGTGATTGTTACTTTATCACATTAATGGTGAATGTTACTGTATCACATTAATGGTGAATGTTACTATATCACATTAATGATGAATGTTACTGTATCACATAAATGGTGAATGTTACTGTATCACATTAATGGTGATTGTTACTTTATCACATTAATGGTGAGAGTTTCATTAGAACTGAATGTTACTGTATCACATTAATGGTGGCAGTTTCATTAGAACTGAATGTTACTGTATCACATTAATGGTGGCAGTTTCATTAGAACTGAATGTTACTGTATCACATTAATGGTGAATGTTACTGTATCACATTAATGGTGAATGTTACTGTATCACATTAATGGTGAATGTTACTGTATCACATTAATGGTGAATGTTACTGTATCACATTAATGGTGATTGTTACTTTATCACATTAATGGTGAATGTTACTGTATCACATTAATGGTGAATGCTACTTTATCACATTAATGGTGAATGTTACTGTATCACATTAATGGTGAATGTTACTGTATCACATTAATGGTGAATGTTACTGTATCACATTAATGGTGAATGTTACTTTATCACATTAATGGTGAATGTTACTATATCACATTAATGATGAATGTTACCGTATCACATTAATGGTGAATGTTACCGTATCACATTAATGGTGATTGTTACTGTATCACATTAATGGTGAATGTTACTGTATCACATTAATGGTGAATGTTACTGTATCACATTAATGGTGATTGTTACTTTATCACATTAATGGTGAATGTTACTGTATCACATTAATGGTGAATGCTACTTTATCACATTAATGGTGAATGTTACTGTATCACATTAATGGTGAATGTTACTGTATCACATTAATGATGGCAGTTTCATTAGAACTGAATGTTACTGTATCACATTAATGGTGGCAGTTTCATTAGAACTGAATGTTACTGTATCACATTAATGGTGGCAGTTTCATTAGAACTGAATGCTACTGTATCACATTAATGGTGATTGTTACCGTATCACATTAATGGTGGCAGTTTCACTAGAACTGAATGTTACTATATCACATTAATGATGAATGTTACTGTATCACATTAATGGTGATTGTTACCGTATCACATTAATGATGGCAGTTTCACTAGAACTGAATGTTACTATATCACATTAATGATGAATGCTACTGTATCACATTAATGGTGATTGTTACCGTATCACATTAATGATGGCAGTTTCACTAGAACTGAATGTTACTATATCACATTAATGATGAATGTTACTGTATCACATTAATGGTGGCAGTTTCATTAGAACTGAATGTTACTGTATCACATTAATGGTGGCAGTTTCATTAGAACTGAATGCTACTGTATCACATTAATGGTGATTGT